TCTCTCTCCACTAGCATCTCTTATTTTGAACAACAAAATCACTCTAGGAAGATTGACCGTGCTATTATAATATTAACGAAATGTAAAATGCTTCATAACACTGATAACATCTGCTCAACATGCCGGAACAGGTCGGATCAGTGACCCGTAAAACATCCTGTGACTTTCATGGTGGAATAAAATTTCAATCGAGTTTTACAATCAGATGGGAACTTGAAGATAAAAACTTTCTCAAGATAGACATTATCTGTCTAGATGACAGTTTAAGGTGACTCGACCCAGTTTTTTTTAGGAGGTACCATCCTACTTTGAAGCTCTCTGGTATCCTCACCTTTACTTTTATCGTAAGTATAACACATAGAATGGATAACATATAGATCAATCTACAATATAACATAAAATTTTTGGCGATCGGAGTAAATGTCACGTGGTTATAATGCCACGCCCCTTTGAGGTCTGAGTGGAAAATCGGCTGTTGCCGGCATTTTTTCGTGAAAATCTCTCGGCTACACATAGTGCGCATTAGTGCCTTGCGCTGAACAGAGTTTCACCAAAATCGCAAAGACCCAATTCGAGAAATTCAGCGGTTTCCAAATTTAGGTCATAATTTATGCGAAAATGATAAGCAAACTTTACACGGATTATATCTAATAAACCAAGAGATTCATCCCTTTATTTTGGGCATCCTTATAACAGATGGGTCCTTGCAAGTCAGCAAAACGCTTTAGGGCCTTGTAAATGCGCGCGATTTCGAGCAAAGCAAACATATAGAAATTATAGTTTTCGCTATTTGTTGACGTTTGTCGGCGTTTAAGAGTCAATCTCACGAAAAAAGCATTTTCTTAAAAATTCGTAGTTTTTTTTTCCTTCAAATTTTTTCAGGGCCACAATTGATTAACTAACTACCCGGACTCTGAATTTCATGGTCATTGAAAAACTGTGACATTATCTTCTAGAAGCTCAAACTTGAGTAAACATTGAAGATTTTTAGCGTTTTGGCTGAGTTTGTGCTTTGGGAGTTGTCTATTGTTTCTAGTCTGTCATTATACAGCATTCTTGTTCAGCACGCGTGCAATGACCGCGCTCGGCTGACTTCCGAATGCTCACCGAGATATTATAAATTTGGTACAGTGAGATAGGCCATCGCGTAATACATAGAGGTTTAACTAACAATTTTTAATCAATTCTCGTGCTTCTTGTGTCTTTGCAAAAAAATCAAGAAGTGCTACACACTAAGTCTACTTACTATTAAAAAAATATCATTTTTTCATAGGTTTAATGCAAGCCAATAATTAAACCAACTCGTGACGGGAATATCTCGGTGAGCATTCGGAAGTCAGCCAAGCGCGGTCATTGCACGCCTGCTGAACAAGAATGCTGTATAATGACAGACTAGAAACAATAGACAACTCCCAAAGCACAAACTCAGCCAAAACGCTAAAAATCTTCAATGTTTACTCAAGTTTGAGCTTATAGAAGATAATGTCACAGGTTTTCAACGACCATGAAATTCAGAGTCCGGGTAGTTAGTTAATCAATTGTGGCCTGAAAAAATTTGAAGGAAAAAAAACTACGAATTTTTTAAGAAAATGCTTTTTTCGTGAGAAGGACTCTCAAACGCTGACAAACGTCAACAAATAGCGAAAACTATAATTTCTATATGTTTGCTTTGCTCGAAATCGCGCGCATTTACAAGGCCCTAAAGCGTTTTGCTGACTTGCAAGGACCCATCTGTTATAACGATGCCCAAAATAAAGGGATGAATCTCTTGGTTTATTAGATATAATCCGTGTAAAGTTTGCTTATCATTTTCGCATAAATTATGACCTAAATTTGGAAACCGCTGAATTTCTCGAATTGGGTCTTTGCGATTTTGGTGAAACTCTGTTCAGCGCAAGGCACTAATGCGCACTATGTGTAGCCGAGAGATTTTGACAAAAAAATGCCGGCAACAGCCGATTTTCGACTCAGACCTCAAAGGGGCGTGGCATTATAACCATGACATTTACTCCGATCGCCAAAAATTTTATGTTATATTGCAGATTGATCTATATGTTATCCATTCTAAGTGTTAGACTTACGATAAAAGTAAAGGTGGGGATACCAGAGAGCTTCAAAGTAGGATGGTACCCCCCCCAAAAAAACTGGGTCGAGTCACCTTAAAGTATCGGATTATGGCGATTAAAACAAATGAAAACTTCACACCTTTCTCCAATAGCGTGACTTTCAGAAAGCCTCGAGGGGCGGATTTGGTAACCGCTTCTGAATTGATACCAGGCTTCTGTCGGTCAAAGTCAAATGTCCCGACCCCGGAGTCGCTTCGTACGATCAAAAGCCCGACAGCGGGATGGTCTCAGGCATCAAATCCCCGCCCCTTGCCCGCCCCCCCCCTCCCCTACGGAATTTACATTGATAGGTGCATGAGCTCCTCCTCCTGCTCCTAATTTTTTGGGTTGCCTTCGCCCCATGCCTCTGCACGACTCCCATTTAAATGGGAGCTCGAAGAAAGTACAGATTTCCTTAAGCGTGGAAACAGTAAAATAGTTCAATTTTCCCTCCTTGACGTGGTCACACAAGTCATAAATGTCATAGACAATCGGATGCGTTAAGCCAATTTCTGTTACAACTGATTCGACGGTGGTCATGTGATTCACTTCTTTCTCGTCAATTAATCCCTCATCAGATTTATCGTCAGCCGCGGTGCTCGGAGACGAACCTACCCGTCTCCATCTCGAGGAGGACAAACGGAAGAAAAATCTTTGTATTTGGGCTTTGGTCAGCCACTCTTCCGGGAAAACAGGCCCTTCCCGTTTTCCCCCTTCGCTTTCCTCATATCTTGCGAGACTTGTCGCAGATCCTCTTTCCTTCCAGATTGCTCACCAATTTCAAACTTGGAGGTGAGATACTGCCTTACTTTCTCTTCGAAGCGAACAGCGCCACCTTTTGGCTTATGAAGTGCCCATCCTTCACTTAAATTCGACTGGAAAGGTTCGCTACCTTGTCTCTCGATAACATTGGTACTATCGCCTTCTGAAAGGGTAAGGGATGAGAATTTTTCAACCCAGCTTTAATCTAGAGATTTCAAAGCTGTTCTAATGTCAAAAATAAAGGAAATGACCCATGAATTCCAGTGCTCAGTGGAAGGATAATTACACCATCAAGCAGTGACCCAATGGCCCTTGTTGCTGTCTATAATTAAGAGATTGTAAGTTGGCTATTACACTTTTTTCTCTTTTTCTTTGACTTTGTGAGGTGGTTTTGTCACAATTTGAACGGACGCGCGTCACTCTTACGTAATGTTTTAACGGGAAACCAAACAGCCTCAGCATTCAGCTGTTCTTAGCCACCATTTTGCGAGAACAAAGTATATGTATATATTAAGAATGGTACAAAAAAAAAACAGCTTACTTGTAAAAACCTTTGTGTTTTTTATATCTTTACATACTTATAAAAAATGGTAGAGGGTAAATGAAAATGAAGAAAAACAAAATGTGTCCTGCATAGCAGTCTTTCAAATTTCCTTTTAGCCGACAGGGAGTCGTGCAGAGGCATGGGGCGAAGGCAACCCAAAAAATTAGGAGCAGGGGGAGGAGCTTATTTAGCCGGCCTTTTGCATGTATTTGAATATACAATGTAATAAGAGTGGTACACCAAAAAATCGGTTTACATGTAAAACTCTTTGTCGTTGTCATATGAAAAAAAAGTACAGGAAAATTGCAAACGAAAAGAATGGGGTTTAGTGATAAAAGGTCACATCGAATCAAGAAATGAGCTGAAACTAACATAGTTCACTTGACAATTGTATGTCAGGCTTATAAGTGGAGAAGGCTAAAAATTGTACACTTCTAGTTTTCTTAACACCTTACCTAAATGACATTGGTTACTGTTACGGAAAATCATATTTTAGAGTCAGCTTTGTATAAAGCAATGATTTTGCATACATTCTTGGGAACAGCAAAGTGATTTAGAACAAGCCCTCTAAGTATAGTGTTCATTCCGTGCAATAACGCATAAATAAAAGGTTCTGGAAGAAAAGACACCTTATTTTATACCCCTGAGGACAAGCAAAAAGGTCATATGGGTACCTCGGTTTAAAATATTTTATATAACTCTATTAATTAATACCAGTTCTAATTTAAAGGAAAAAGTTATGAGAATAAAATAAAAGTTGTCTGTACCACAAAGCATGCCTTCACTCTTTAGACTGAGAGTCCTAAAGCTTTTTTAGAGTGTATTCGAATATCTTATGACGATAAGTCCGCCACCCACACCACCCTGCGGCGTACTGTTTTCATTCAGCGGCTGGTCAGCGGTCACGTTTATGAGGTAAACATGGCGATCACCTCCTGATCACCGTTCTGGTCGATCAGAAAATCCAAAATACCAGCGTGATATGGCCTCGAAGATGACGCAGTTATGTTGTTTGATTCGTACTTCACATTGGAGTCGAAGCTTGGGTGGCACAGGTTATTTCTTACGGTGGAATCGACAAGGGAAATTCGAACACTAGTGGTCACTAGTTGTAGTGTTTGAATTGTTGGAAGAAATGGTCGCATGGGGATGTAGGAATGGTAGGTTTAACGAACAGTTTCAAATTTTGCCCCTTGAATTGAACGTGAAGTTCATTTGAATGCTTTCCTATGTATTTCTGACTGTTTTAGATCTATCTGCTCGATTTATATCTGCTACGCTTCATGTTGACAAGTCCCTCAAAATGGCGGCAAAAGTTGGAGATTGCGGAAAATTAGGTAAGTTCACGGAGTTATAAAGTTTTAGTAAAGGTCGGGCCGCAAAGTTTTTTTCTGTAGTTACCTTTTCTATGGCACCTACCTCCTAGCTATATTAGTTGGATCAGTTAAGAACGCCTCACTTTTTCAAAAATGTACCTTGAATTTGATCGGTTTTCGCGTGTGTGACTTAAGCGAACCGATAAGGTGTCGTTCAAGTCTTCCTGTTTGCTTGATTGAAACGTGATGTTCACGAAAGTCGCCTCGATGGATAAGATAGACTTATTACACATGGCTGTGGTATTTGATTTTTGCTGAGTCCCGTACTTTTTTGTAAATTGTCCTCCAAAGTTGTCTCAAATTAAAGTCTTGAAAAGTGTCACAACAGGCCTTCGCTCGAGTGAAATTTAATTTCCGTAAAACTCTGAAAAATAAAGAGATCCGATCAAACGGATTGTGGTTTTAGTATAGGTACATGAATGTCTTACAACACACAAGAAATGAGCTAAATCTGTGTCTCAACGAAAAACGACCGGACCGCTCTTACAGAGACACTCTCTTAAAACGCGAAAGTTGCGCAAAACTGAGTCTATCCTTATCGCTATAGAAAACTTATCCTGAAGGATTATATGCTTCTGGTTCATCACACTGCGACAGACATACAAAGATACTAATACACTATAAAACTCCGACAAATGAGAAATTTTGAGAAATGGCAGGTAGGAAGGGAGCAAGACATAAAAAATGTTTTCAACATGCTTTATTTTTACGATTTTAGGGGCGAAAGCGTTTGAGAAGTTAAAACTGTTTGAGCTGGTGATCACTTGGTGTGATCAAGGATTAGCAGTATCCTTTTACTCTTTACATTCTTCCATAGCTGAAAAATGGTTTATTTTCGCAACTTGTTGTATACACTTCCGTTACGATTTGTCTACCATTTTTCTTGACTAACGGTTCAGTGCTTATTTGAGGGCGATGCTTAGTTATCTAAACTTCTTCAGTACGAATTACACAACAGTACGCGATATTTTTCTCTATTTCTTTGTTTGTTCAAAAGCGACCACAAAAGCACAGAAAAATTGGAATTTCTAATATAAGTTAGTTTTTAAAAAGTTTGTGTAGCAATAACAGTGTCAACAATATTAGTCTTGTTAGCGTTTCAATATTAACAAGAGAGGATTATCCCCTCTTTATAACCATGTTGCAGGGAAAATGCTGCGTACAGTCAAACCTATATATAACTGTCAGCCTTGAGAAATGGGTGACCGCTATATATATATATATAGGTTTCCTTTAAATTCAACTGGATATTGATTTCGTTCAACGCTTGTAGGTCCCCCATTCGATTGCCATGAAAAGGTTAACTGATTCGACGATTTTGGTAGCATTCATTTTTCCGTCTACTTTGGAGCACACATCTTGAATTTTATCCTTTATTTGATCGTAATCCAATTTGTGGACCGTTATAAACAGGTAAAAAATATAATCGAATTGTGCATTTTGGGAGTCTAAAGGGTGACCGCATCCGTCATAGAGAGGAGACCGTTTTAAACAGATCAACTTACAGAACATATATGGCAATATATTCGGAGAGTTGTCCAGTAGCCGTAGTATACTGGGTGACCGCTATATACAGGGCCGCTATATGCAGGTTTGACCGTATTTTTTTTGTTTTTAACTTTAGGCTGCTCATAAGGGGTAACGCTCTTATAGTTATATTCAACCTATGGCAAGTATACTTTACTTCAACTTAATTTCGAAATTACTATTTACACCTTAACAATATAGTAGATTTTTTTGGGTCGTATGGCTTCTCACCAGCACAGCATTTCCAGGTCTCTTTCTTAGGACGCACAAAGTGATTGGAACCACATCTGTCACACACTTTATAGCGAACGTCATAATTCACTTCGCCGCATTTCTCCACCATATCTGTGAATATTGTACATGTCAATTGGGTGCTTAAAATACTTCAAGCAATTCTAAAGTATTTGGTTATGAGCGAGGCAAAGAGCGAAAGGATGGAGGTGAACCGTGTGTCCGCACTCCATTATTGCTAAAACAAGGCCAAATATTTTGGTAAAAGAGACTTTGCTGACTGAACTGAGACTGGCTTTTTAAAGTAGCTGCGTTGTTTCTCCCCATGTGAAGCAATCCAAAATCGTTTAGGATTCGGTGTAAATGGATTCTAGACTCCAAAATACCTGGATTCCGGATTGCGTATTTCAAAACCCAAAAAATGGTGGATTCCGGATTTCGGACCCTCTTACATGTACATAGGACGAGATCTGTCTTTAAGAGCACGATCAAAGCAGTTGCTGGTAAGCAGACTATTGTAACACAACAAATATTCCTTTCCGTGTGTCATTACTTAGATTAGGGCATTTGATAATATGATTTCACCGTAGGGTACTTTAATTCTATTCCTGCTTTAGCCAGATCGAGACTGGGAAGAGGTTATAAGGGCTTAAAAAGGGTTGGATTTAAATATCAACGTTCAGATGTTATTCTCTGTACCTTTTTGTATGATCAGTTTTCCAGTATCACTTTGAAAAGGACCTCCGATCAACATCTGTATGCCTCCCAAATCGGATGCGAAGGAGTCGCTGAAGCTTCCGGATTGCGTGCCGTTCAAACGTCTAGAGTTCCTGATGAAGTGAACTTGGTCTCCAACTTTCAAAGGGCGGCTTCTTCCGAGGCTGTCGTGATAGTCAGAGATGTAACTGCCAGCAACGATGAACTTATTTTCTGGGCACGATTCCGTATTCCACATCCAATGTTTAAGGTGTGGCAACCCTGGACAAGTACCTAAACTACACTGCTTCCGGTCTGACTCACAGCTCAGCCACAAGCCAAACCCTTGGTCATTTTCCCTGTAAAAGAGGGCAACCTCGTCTCCATAACGAATAGGATTATTTTTTGAGGATCGCTCCTTGGCGTAAATGTACAGCACTTTTCTTCGGTGAGTGAAGGCGTTTTCATACACTTGTCGCTTTGAGAAGCCACATTATTTGTTACCACATGTCAACCATGAGCTGCCAGCGGATGGCGACTCACTGGCAGCAAAAAGAACCGGGTCGCTACTGTAGATATGATCTGGGTCTTCCTCTGGCAAGGCAAATACTAATTGATCAGTCAATCAGTCAATCAATCAATCAATCAATCAGTCAGTCAGTCAGTCAGTCAGTCAATCAATCAATCAATCAATCAGTCAGTCAGTCAGGCAGTCGATTAATTCATTGTTGCAATACCTTTTCTTTTCAGTAAGACTACAGCAATGTGTCGTACTAGTGGTCAATCAATCAATCATTCAAAAACTTTATTTACCCACGGGATCATTTCACTAAAAAGTAGTCTTCTAAAGAGCCGTGCACGTTAACCTTAAATATATAACATAGTACTTAAAAACTAAGACTAAAAATTTTCGAAATTACACTCTTATATAAAAACACCAGGCTGAATGTTCTTACTTTTTTTATATTGTGAAGCCTGACGCTTAATTAAGTACATTGTTATGTTACGTAGCATTACGTTACGTTGAATGTCTTGTCATTGCCTACTTTGTTAGAGTAGAGGTTTGCAACCTTAAAACCTTTAGATGTAAGGAGATATCAGATTCCCTCTTCTCGCTTTCCTCTCGGCTGTTGTTACGACGTGTTTTGTCATAAAAATGCTTCGACTGTTAGTCTCAGAGTGAGTGCGTTCTTAGCATGTTCTTCAACACATTTTGATCAATTTCAGCCACAACATTCTTGTAAAAAATGCCCTTTAAAAAAACTAGAGCGACGGTTATCATTTTTTCACATTTTTCACGCTTAGCGGTTAACCCCACTGTGACCCTATAGAAACGGCTGGTAGGGGCATTTACCTGCAGAAGCTGAAAGGCTCCAAATTCCTCCAAACAGGAGAAAGACTACCCAGCATCCCATGGATGCTGCCATCGTATGTCTGTTGCCAATTTAGGCCCTGCAAAAAGACAGATCAGAGGATACTTTTGGTAGCCAACTGGAGGTTGAATCACCTATGACACAGGGAGAACCTACCCCTCGCCATTTAGGATTTAAAATATCGGAGGGGTTGTCAATTTAAACCCCCAAAAGCCCTTCAGTAGTCGTTATTGGTAAATAGCGTTACTCACTGTATGGCGTATTTTCCTAGGAACCTTTCGTTTTAGCTGAATGACCTTCATTCGCATGAAAATGCATGTGCTTTCATGAAAACAAGAAGTGATGCTTCAGAATTGTTGTAAAGTGTTCACATAACCTAACAATCTAAAGCTTAATATTTGGGTTACTAAGATTTTAAAAGCTTCCAGGCTTTATCACTGTGCTCTTTCCTCTTAATCATTGCCCTCCGATTAAAAGGGGTCGCGTTCAACTTTGCGGCATTTTTTTTCCTTTCTTTGGAAGCTTCAATAGTTAGTTTAGTTTGTAAATAGTGCTTCTATATTCTGCAATAATTTAATGCTTATAATGTCTTTTGTAAGTAACAAATACAACAAGTGGAATACAGGAATTTTGTTTACTATCGCTTTTTGTTCAGGTCAGGTCAATATTTAAGATCTTTGGAATAAGACTTAAATGCCGTTTTCACACAGCGCACGATTTCCACCTAGTCCCAGTTAAGGATTTACTTGTTATTTAAATCGAAGCATTTAAACAATTAAGTTGAGATATTCCAATCATTGACTCACATATTTAGTTTTAAAAAGAAACAAAATTGCGATAAAAACAAAATCTCAGAAATGAAAGAACTTGAAATAGGGTAAAGAAAGAAAGAAAGTGTGAAATCCCCTGCATCTACAAACAAACCTGTAAACCTTGGGAACTTTGCTGGAATTAAGAGCTTTGGCAAACTACCTACCGCAATCTAGCGACAACAGCTTCTCGCTTCTTTAGAGAATATCCTTCTGTTGCTTTATGGTTGCAGTCGCTTGGTGTTTTTACCTTTTTTCTTAAATCATTAACAATGTGTTAAAGTAGGTTTACGTCGTCACCTGAGAGTGAACCCGCTGTGATGCTATGGTGCGTAAGACTCTGGTTTCTAGGTAAACAACCTGTTGGATGATTTTGGTACTATTTTTCACCTCACTGAAGCAAGAGAGCTTCACTTTTGCAATATCACAGGTGTATCAAATTTCACTAATACAATTTTGTTACTTTCCATATAAATTTGTTTCTTTTGTCCACTGACTCTAAGTAAATGCTGTAAAAGTATGTAACTGTACTTTTGAAGTTTATCATTATAAGTAAATAAAATGCATGGTTCCTTAGGAATCTCCCGATGCCAGATTAAATACCTATGTAATTGTTAGGATAATGTTACGGAAAGAAACTCTGAATTCTCGAGCGATTTACAATGACCAAATCTGGATTGAATGTTTGGTAAAACCATCGGTTAATAAAAAGTCTAAGAGGATATCAAGGGTGTAGAAGTTTAATTAGCCAAATGAGACAGATGAGTGTAACAATACAGCCAATAAAGAGGAATTTTCTGCGATTCTTTAAAGCAGCCGGGGCATGCAAAGTAAAAACTAAAGCGTGGAATACACCTGGCAAAGGTTAAGATCATTGACCTCTACTTTCCTCGGATTTGCAAGCTCAAAATACAGGTCCTTTACACTCAGTAACAAGTAATGAATTATTTATTGGTTTCCTGGTAACGTGTTCTTTTTCATCGACAGGTTGCTAAAAATTTCATTTCCTTAGTGAGACAAATCATTGAACCTCGCGAGTAGAAGTATGGGTGGAGTTAATAACTACAATTGCATGCTTTTGAAAGGGCTAACCATAAGGCACCAACACTTAGCCGGTCAACCGTCAAAATCGCAGCGGGATGCTACTAGCCATCATTGGTTTTACGTCTAGTAAGACTTTCAAATACCATCTTTTCAGCTTCTTTTACAGGTCTTAGTTTGGGATCGTTTGGAACTGTTAAAAAGGTATCCTTCATCCAGTTCATTCATGCTGACTTCTTTGCGTGGAATCATAACTAACTTTCGTTTGACTTCATTTCATCCAAAAAAGGACGCCCACTGCCAGAACACAAAAGTGTTACCGATATCACCCTCCCGCAATTTCCCTTTACCACGCGGAAGCCCTTAGTAAACATTTACCTGAACCAGGTGACGCCTGGTGATATCTGCTAGGCTAATTATTGTAAAATTGCATAGCTAAAGAGTGTTTGAATTTGTTAACGCGAGAAGTTTACCAAATCAGCTAAAATACAACATTCATTTCTTACTTAGACAAAAATGTTCCATTCACAGATATTTTGGTGTGTTGTCTGGTTTAGGTCGATAATATCTAGAGCCCTCCCCGCTACTGACATCATATAAACTTCAGTGAACGCAAGTATTCAGCAGAGTGATAAGTCAACGGCAGAAGACAAGCAGTGTATTACGTTTGCGTTTTCAGAACGAGATCCGTTCCTCAGACTCTAGGTTCATGTACAATTCTTTTGTTTGCAAAGGTGTAAGGGCTCTTGTCTTCGTGTTTCATGCAGTGACGCCATCGCGGGACGAAAACCGCCTCGGAAGACACCCTTAAACTTCGTACTCGAGTCGACAGCCTAGAAAAGCGGTAACCAAGCTCTCGGCTTAACTTTTCGGTGAGGTTTTCTCGCCTGCAGTATCGAGAATTTAAGGGTAGAGATATGTTTTCTGTTGTGTCGCGAGTTCAAAGGTGGCGAAACGAGCCACTGCAGTGGCTACCAGACGCCACTTAACATTTAAATAGCCTCTTATACGCAATCAAAAAACTGCGCGGGTTGCAGTCGGCTTCAGGCCCTGGTGCTTCACACTCCTGATTTCTTACGTTGCGTTTGTAAGCTGGAAATATGGAGATTTAGCTAATGACTCTGGCTATCCTTTCGTCAAGAGGAACATATTTGGGACAATTCTTGTCTTAAATATTCAAGGGTAGAGATAGCACTCTTATTTCTGAAATAAAAAAGGCATCTTAATTATAATTCAATCATAAATTATAATATTTTTCTTCACTTTTTACCACTTTTTTCTTCTTTTGACAAATAATGTATTCAAAATCGACTTTTTTTAACGCCTTTAATTAGTAATTCGTGTTTGTATGTCCTTAACACCGCCTTCCTAGATTAGCTCGCTATTTGCAGGCGGTGTTCATTGTAAGTAATTTTTTTTTGGAATGACTTAATAAACTTGAACTTTTTTTTCTAGCTGGGGTCAACGGAGTTCCTTTAATTTTCATCATCGTCAGTTCTTTGATTCCACCCAGAGAATACAACTATCAATCTCACACTGTCTGCTACCCATGTCATACACTGATTTCCTAGCTCACAAAAATTGAACCTTTTTCTATCGAGTTGCGTTGATTCGATGTGGCTGATTCAACAACTGGAGAGTAAATTGCTGTTTCTATCAACTAACGGCAATCTATCAATCCAAAATGATATATTCTAGTATGCGTGTTGGACATTTCCAGTATTTTGGGTAGTAAAGTCAGAACCTCCTATCGATCGATACACTGTCCTTGAGTAGCCAATCATGATCAGATAGCAGGTTCGCCAAAAAGTCGTACATTGGATTATTCTATGCATAAATATCCATATCACGCAGGAAGGTGACAATGCAGAGAGACAAACAACTTTATTGATTTATTTTATTCCGTATTAATTTATCAGTGAGAACTTGAGGGTAACTGTTTGTTGGAGTTCCTCCGATGCTTGTTCACGATTTTCGCCAGATTGAAGAAAGAACCCTTGGGATACTTTGCTGTGCAATTTCCCTCGTTTTTCTGT